GCGCCTGTCAACGCCGCTTTAGCGTGTCGTTTTGCAACTTTAACGATTAGAAATTATTCCTGACAGTTTCTACTCGCGATTCCTCTGAGAAGGGAATCACATACGTTGCCTGCAACTAGGACTAGATCCTTTTGAAAAAAAAATGCGGAACGTATAAAGAAAGATTGTTAATTTTATTGCATTATTTCTACGTTGCCGGAAAAGGATTCGACCGGAATCATTGCACATGACAAAACGTGGGAATCGTTAAAAGACCGCGACTCCAACTCACGCGGCGGCGGTAACGGCGGCATTAACGTAACCATGGAGGTCAATGACTGCGGGAAATCGATCGAAACCCTTACCTGCACGACAGTGAGTCTGCCGTGAGGTGCACGATTGCTCGCTCGCTCAGTGAAATATCCACTTCGTATTGCTGTACGCAGATGCTACACAGATGCTCCTTCTGCCGCTCGGCATTGTTAGGAAAAAACTCATCGTCAATTTCTGCAAATTAAACGCGCGAGCAGCGCGTTTTTTGTACGTCCCAGTAAAGGTCGGACTGCAAATAGACCGCGAATAGACCGTAGTACTAACCATTAGTCGTAAACCTAAACGGGGGAGAGATCGTTTGTTGTCCCGAAAGCGGGAACAAGTGCCCGAGAGAACCAAGTCGTTTCCTCGCAAACGAGGACAAATTCTCCGAGTGGTCGTTTCTCATGCCGAATCGCGGCGTCCCAGTTTCGGGAAATTCGGCGCGGACGAGCCGTGCTCCATGCGCGCGTCCTGTCGAGCGTAACACGTTTCCGGCATATTTTCTGTCTGCGAATCGACCGTCGAAAATTAATATGCGGCCCCGAGGAGGATTGGCTGTGTAACACGACTCCGCGTGTAAAGGTCCACGGTGCTGGAACTTGGTCCAAGTTTTAATAAATTTTGTTGTCTCCAAACAAGTTTGGAATGGTTCAAACAAATCATTTGTTTGAATTTCAAATAAAATATATATATATCTTCGTCTGAAATAAAATATTGGAAACAAAAGTATATTCTCTTTGATCTAAACGATATTATTGTTTTATTCAAACAACATTATTGTTTGATAGAAAATACGTGAAAAAAATGTACGTACATATATCTTTTTCCCTCTACGTTAGAATTTTCCCTTCGTTAGAAGAAGAAAGATAAAATTTGGGTTTTCAAGGTCCTACTGTGGTCGCTATGTCGGACGGACGTGCCTTCGAACAGAGATCGATGTCAAACCTCCGTTTTTAATTTAATATCGGTGACGTAATATCAATTATCAAATTCCTTGAAAAGGATCACAACCCGTATGGTCGAAACGTCGGAATCAAACAAGTAAACCATCTGCCAGCCTAATGTCTAACAATTCTTTTTACACATACAAATAATGTTTCGTGTAAGCATACATATATTGTTTCGATGAAACAAACTTCAATCAACTTGCAGCTATTCCGTAAAAGCTGTAAATCGATTGGCTAGACATTTCTCGGAACTAGAACTTGGACCAAGTTCTAGCATCGTGGACACAGGCCTTAATGCGTGTACGACTACGCCACGCTTTTACGTAACAAGCCGCAATGTTACGCGTCGGAATGCAAGTACTGAAAATTGAAATATGTTGAACGCAACGTCGTCTCTGTTTATTTGCCGAAAGAGAGGTGGTATTTCCCGAACGAATTCCGAATCGGTGGCAATAGTCGGCACGAAGAGTGTCAAGGAGTCCAGGGATGTCGTTCCGTCATTCGCGCAACCTCGACGAAGAGGCGCTTTTTTATCAAACGGTCATTGCACGCCGGCGACGTCACCAGCGTCCTTTTCCGCGTCAAAAACGGATTATAGATTTTGCCGCCTCCTATAAAACGCATCCCTGCGCTGCCCTGCTTATCATAAGCGAGGCCTTATTTATAGATACCGCGGTGGTCAACGAGCTTCGAGAATCTAAATAGCAACAAAATTTCCCTATCCGTCCAGTTTCACGTCGGATATTATCGGAGATTGCGTCGCCGGGGCTCAATTTTTAGAACAAAGTACGGGTCGCTCCCGGCGGCGGCCATCAAACTTGAACCCCCGCTCAAGTTTTCGCCGAACGCTCTGCATACACGCTCCCTAACGAGTGCCACGTCCAATCACGGCCCGTTCTTTCTGTCGCCATTACCGCTGCCTATTGCTAACTAGCGCCGTCCTCGAAACCCTCCCCGTGTCCGCGATTCATGAAACTTGATTGACAGTGGCCTCCGCTTTGATTCGACAGTCTGCAAACGAGCTGCGCTTTCGAGAGAACCTATGCAGACGGGCCATAGAGATGTGCAATTCCAATTAGGCGAATATCTGGCAGAATCCATTTAATCGTCTCGCTAAATCAACTAATGGCCGCCGTGTTCGAATCTAATATACATATCTCCCTTCGAGCGATTTCGTGGCTCTGCCAGTGAATTCATCCACGCTTTCTTTCATTCCCGAGATACTTCCGGAGCAAAACTATTCCGTCCATTTTCTCATCTGCGATCACAATAAAAAGGAGATTTACTTCTAGATTATGCAATCGATTCTTTCGAAAGTTAAAATACAGTTCGAGTGCCAGCTACCACAGTGCTCACACGTATACGTATATTTTATTACTCGACTCTGTCTTATTCGGCGACGATGACTGACTTGGTATCACTCGAAAAGGACCCAAAAGAATAGGGTCGAAACGTTGTGTAATAAACTAATTGAATAACTAGCCAGTTGGGTTGACTATAAGTTTCCCGTCTCAATTTTTAATCATTACTGGTGACAATAAGCAAACCCTCCTTTCGTTAAAATAGTGTACAGGTGCGACAACAATTGTACCTTATGTCCTTCTCTCAATTGAGATTCTTACGTGCCATTCCCGATTAAAAGTAGTCTATTATCTTTAGTAAAAAATGAACTCGGTTTATCTACCATTGTCAATTTAATGAAATTGGCATTCTCCTGACGTTCTCATCTTTGTATTTAAGTTGTCGGGGGGCCCTTTTTGAACCGCGCCGAGAACTTTTTCGGAGAAGCGAATCAGAATTCTCAAGAACTGTGCCGACTTTGCAGAGGTACTAAATTCCCATTTAACTGCCATTAGTGTACATTTTCGCGTCGCAGGCCAAGAGCGCGGGGCAGCGTCTTCCCCGAGCGAGCGCCTAATAAGAACAAAGAGAGAGGAATCCTTTCACGCGTCACTGGACCGCGCGACCGGTGCGGTGATTCGCGACAAATGCGATTTCTAGAGCGAGCGGCGCAGATGCAACGTGATCTCGTTATATAAAATCAAGCGTGCCATCTCCTGGGATCGACCGAGAGCGGTGTCGCGGGGGGATTAACCCGAGCGTTTCGTTGCGCATTACCCTCTTCATGGGCGCCTCGGGCTGCCTGAGAGCAGCCCCAGGATATGACGCGTCCCGCCCGGGGAGGGGGTTACTCGCGACGGGTCCTCCGGGTTTCGCCCCGATCTCGTTACGACCCGCGGCCGCGATAACATCGCGCGTGCGTACACGCGAGCGCGGATAAGAGCATGGGAGATCACCGGATGTAGATCGATCCAGCTAACGGCTGGCAATCCGTAAGCGCCATCGACCAACCGACCGACCGGCTGGCTGGCCAGTCGACCGACTGGAGCTCTGACCCATTTCCTTGGGTTACGCTACCCGGCAGATGAATTTTCGCTATCCGTCCGCCCGTCCTCGTTGTTTTCCGTGGCGACCTAGCAACCCTTCCGGCACCCTGACCTATGACCTACATTCGGCGCGTCCTCGATCGGCCCGGTTTCTCCCTCTCCGTTTATCCCCACCGCGTAAAGGACGCTAGGCTATCAGCTGTTCCCGAATACGCAGATTCGCTACGCATTTCTTCTTCGGCAATCGATTCTACCTCGTGTCGCGTCATCCCCTCGAAGTTCAACGAAAGCGTTCACCCTTTGCATCGGAGATGATCTTGTTCGGTCCACGTAACGAGATCCTATCCGAGACGCTCCCTTCTGGCGTAATAAATTCCGTCATTTTTTAACGGCTTCGGCATGGAAGTTATGTAAACCTGACCCCGAGCTTACGACTGCAGAGAAATTTTGCCGTTGCCAAGAAATTGGCGCCGCCCGCAATCCTCGGCCCGCGTTGCAGTAACGCGGCCTGTTTTTCTGTATTGCGGCTCGAAGCGTGGAGACAAGTGAAAGACGATTTAGCCGAGTCCCGTAACCCGGTCGACTAGAACCAGTTTCTTTTAATCGAATCCCCCGGTCTCGCGGTAACGTTCCTACCCGGCGAGAAGCGGCCGATAATCACGCGAGACGTGTCTCCGCTTTTCTTTTGCAGGTATGATCACTCTGGTCGACGGTACGCCGGTTTTCGCGGATCCTCTGAAGGAGTGGAAGATAATAGTGACGCACTACGGCGGACTAGCCAGCCTCGCTCTGATCGGACTCATCCTGGCAGCTATTCTCCCTTGCGCGGGTCTCTTCTTCTGCTGTTGCAGATGCGCGGGGCACTGCGGTGCTCGGAGCCAGCCCTTCGACAAAAAGCATGATCACTGCAGGAAGATTATGCTCAGCATCTTGTTGATCGGGGTCGCCACTATCATTCTGTAAGTGGGGGGGGGGGGCTTTTTTTTACCGAGTCGGAGTATAATTTAGAACAGTCGCGTTGAGCCTTTCACATCTGTGTCCCAACTTGCTTAAGAAATTATATCTCTGGCTATATTATACTATTAAGATCAAACGGGACTCGTTTGAATCCACTCACTTGCTTAAATAAAAAAATATTACCGATATGAAATGTGAAAAAGCGTTGTAAAATTATTCGGAAAACTTGTCGAATTAATGATGAAACGTTCAATTAATGCAAAGAGATATTTTTGCGCGACGATTACGCAAGCAGTTAATTTTTACTCGAATACACAGTTTAATTTTTTCATGACGTTTACGCCGGGTACAAGATAAAGGCAGAATAAAAATCTATATTTGGATGACAGAAGAATATAACGATGCTATTGATCGGTATACGCAGAACAGATTAGATTGCAAACTTTTAGACTTCATCAAATGTAGTTCAATCAATGCACTTTGTTATAATTTAAAAACTGTATCTCATAAGCTGTATCTAGATTTTGCGATTTTGTTTTAGTAACTTTAGTAAGAAACTTTCATTAGAATTGAAAGATATTAAATTTCTTGCATTCACTGTGCAGGATATTCGATTTTAGACTTTTTATATTTTGATATCATTTTCGTGCAGCGACCCCGTGAGAATCTCGTAATACACAATTTATCGGAAACAATTTAAAAATATTTTATTCCTTGCATTCACCGTCTTGAATTCTTATCTGTTTCTATTCTGCTTCGCTCAACTATCCTGAGAAATCTGGAAAGATAATTGAACTAAAGATATTTTTGTTCTCAAAAAAAAAAGAAGTTAGACGTAAACGGATTAATTTAATGCAACATCGAGTCTTACTTAATCGTTTCGTTACTCGTGGTACCAGAAGGGGAACAAAAACGATAAATAGAACATACGGTAATAAAAGTTCCCTCTGGTGTTTTATAACTGATACATGATCGTTATATGATTCCGCGAAGCTCGGAAATTCCCGCAACTCGCTTGCTTCCTCCCTCTTGAGGCACTAATGAATACATCTCAATGCGTTATGCGTTGCACGATAATTAACTTACCCCTCTCCCCGGGAAATTTAATCGTCCCGAATGCAATTTAATCCGCTTTCGTAAAATACGATATTAATATTCGTAGATGTCAAATATGTTTAACGGCAGCCTCGTATAAAATCCGGTAATGGAATTCTATTTCCGTACCGCCGTCTCGTCGCTCTAATAAAACGTAGACACGCCGACAATTAACTGCAGATTCGGCGTGGTGTGTGCCTTCGTGACGAACGAGTACATGCAGGAGGGAACCAAAGAGCTTCCGTGCAAAGCCAAGACTAGTCTGAAGGACGTCAAGCTCTACTTGACTACCACGAAGCAGGAGATCGACAATTTGCTCAAGACCAATCCCGAGGAGCTGGAAGTTACGCTCAACAATATCCTGCAGGCCAGCGGCAAAATCGTTACCGAGCAACTGGCGGAATACTCGCACGCTGTCTCCCTGACGAATCTGAACGACATCGTCGCCGGCTTGGAGTCGATCAGGGAGGACCTGAGATTGATGAATAAGATTACGCAGGAATTGCGGATAAACGCCAGCCAATTGGACATTGGTACGCAGCCCGTTCTGTTTTTCCCCGATCTCGAAATTGGAAAAACCAATCGACTTTGTGTCTCTTCTTCCTCGCGGAGAGAAAGAATTGTACTGAAACTGCGAAAAGTGAAGATACTCTTTCCACACGTTTGAGGCAAATTTATAAGATTCAAAATTTACGATATATTGTGTAGAATATATTATTTTAATTTTGTCATTCTATCGATTTCTGTAAATATCATAATCTTTAGACATTTGAAAAAAGCACGAAACTCTTGTATCTTTTCTTCATTAAATCGTTACACACGCTATTGCGTGATAACGTGTAACTAATTAACTGCTCGGTAATTGAATCAAAATACTAAGTACATTAATAGCTGTTGCATATAGTTTTAATTATACACAAGTCTATAATAACAAAACGTCTCATCAAAGCATAGTCTCAAAAGCGAAATGTAAATGTGGTTCTTCAGTCGTTCGTGGCGTCAAGAAAAACCTTCTTCACACGCTGGCTGCGTGTACGACTGACAAGTGCCAACGGGTTCTGCACGACTACAAAGTGAATCAGATGTCGGTACAGGTGGACTTCGATAAGGTAAGCAAGACGCAAGTCGTTTCTTATCGTCGTAGATACTACCTTAGCTAATTACCTGTGGTTAATTACGAGCATTTTCCTTGTTTACACGCAGTACATGGACCGTTACTTCCCAAAGGTATGATTTTACAATGAAAGAAATCTTTTTCTGCAATGTAATGAAATGTAATAAAAATGCCTTCGGACCTCGATATATAAAACGATCGATTTGACGAAGAGACGAGATACCTTTTTTCAGCAATCACGGCATTGTGCTCGCTATCTTCAAGCAAATGTTATCTCGAGGTCTAAGTGCATTGAAAACAGTGATTTTTAAATGTATTGAAACGGTAGATTTTGTACAAGGCTTGCCTTGGCTTTCGTTTGCTCATAATAAAGCTTCTTAAAATAAAGTCACTAATGTCACGACAAACAAATCTCACCGGAGCGACTAGGTTGAATAAGAATTCTTCACGACGACGCTTTTATATCGACAGCGTTACATTTGAATTAATTAAATTACAAAAGATAGTTGATATAATGCATGGCACATCGGTGCAAGTAAATTCGTAAATTCGGATACATCTTGTAGACCAGTGCAATTATTGCTTATTGTAATTTATTGCAAAACATCTTCATTAACGTCGAGTATTAGTTACGGAACAGTAGTCATTGATATAATCGCGTGATCATTAGTGTACGAGGGTGAAATACTGCATAAATTCATTTGATTCCATGCTTGCCACAAATAGCTTCTAGTATCTGTAAGTTGTAAGCAGAAGCATGCGGTTTCCTTATTCATGTGTATCTCGTTTTATATATGTGAATATATTTATTTGCATTATTCGATTAATTTTGCAAAGTAACTTGCACGAATAGAGACATTTGCTGAATGTATACGTTACGCAAGTACGTTAAATTTCTCTCTGAGAGCACATTACTTTATTATTTGCACTTCTCTGTCGAGTACAAGCGTAAAAACTTTTATGTTGTTTTATAAAACAACGATTAAAAAGAATGTATTTCATACGCAGGATGTCCCACTTTTTTTGCGCGTTATTTTCTTAACAACAGAGTTTCCTTGGCCAATATGATAATTTGTCCTTAGCAAAAATATATTGAGTCCATCGATCACTTTTGAGTTATGAGAGCGACTGAAAGAGAAAATCTTTTCGCGTCCTAGATTTTCGGGGAGCCGAAATAAACGAAAATACGCTCCTCAATTAATCCCACAATGGATTCGTCATGATATTATTTCAGTCTAGAATTTATTTGTAAACATATTTAAACATTGAAAAGCTGCGGCAAACGAGGATCTTCCATGATATTTTCGTTATGAAAAAATTACACGGGTAATCTGATATCAAAAGGTAATGCGTGAAAAGTGGAATGTCGCGTATGTGAAAGAGAAGTGATTTTAAAGTATAAGAGTTTTTAGCGGTATGAAAATATATGTTTACGTAGTCTTTTTATCTTTTACTTTTTTACCCTGGGATAAGTTATTCTCAGATTGCGGTCATACATATTTTTATTTTATATTATTCATATGTCCAGATATTAAAATATTCATGCAACACATACGTATCCTCTTTTATTTATGTCCCCATGCGTTCGCGTGCCCCGCAAAATTAGATTCCGTGACACTCCGAGAATCTCGTGTCTTCCGGCTTGTCTTGTAGCTTTGGAGGTCGCATTTAGCACGAAATATTCAGCAAGAGAATTTTAATCCGTTCTATGTGTGGCGAACCCTTATTACCCATTTCGTTAATGCCAATTAAAAGCATATCGTGGCACTTTTCAGCTGCCGGATGTTACGTTCGCGTTGCATAACATCACCGTGCTCATGGAGAGCAATATAGTGTCGGAGGTGAGCCAGGGCAGGGATTCGTTTCTCAAGATCCAGAAGGATATACAGCACGCCGTTAATCAGACGATCCCCGTGGTCAGCGCGAGCATCCGACGGGCCTGTAACTTCCTGGCGAGCATCGCCAATAATATGACTGCCCTCATCGACAGGATAAATGTCGACATAGATAAGGTTTACATGCGACACTTGGAAGTTGCCCGGAGCAATATAAATCAGTATTCGCCTTACAGGTTCGTAGAAGAAGCAAACTCGAGATAGGTGCATTGTGAGGCGCATTAGAATTTACAGGGGACGCCGAATAATCGCCCCACATGGTTTATTTCAGATATTATCTTGGCCTTGGTATATCCGGTATTCTTCTGACTGTCTTAATGTGTTTGACGTGCGGTCTGTTCTGCGGTATTTGCGGAAAGCGTCCAGACGGATACGGAGATGATTGCTGTAATAAGGGGTCTGGCGCACGGTTTCTCATGATGTAGGTTGCAAAAGTCGTTAAAATAATATCGCCGGGGTTGCTATTGCCGTTTCCCCTTTTTTATAACCGCTAATGCTTCGAATCGCAGGGCTGTGTGGATTATCTTCCTTTTGACGAGCGTCCTGATGGTTATAACCGTTGTTCATATGATAACCGGCGTTATGGCTCAACGTGGTATCTGCGAGCCCTTGAAGAATCCGAAGGACAACAGGATGTTCGAGCTGGTCGACGAGCTCGTGCAGATCAAGAGAATACTCTACCCGAAAAATCCTAATGCGCATATTAATATGAGCTACATTGTAACGTAAGTACATACGTGTTTGCTTGCATTTGACATTCGATAAAATCCCGAGGAAGTCCGTATTCTCGTGACTGACAAGTAATCTCTCATTTATGTAATTTTCTGCAGAAGTCTGGGTCTGTTTATCAGTCGTGTAATAAGCGTCACGTAAACTGATTTTAGAGAATAAAACTGTCCCGTGTGCGCTGAATATGGAAGACGATAAATTTACCGATATGTGACCCTCGATTCCTTCCCGTTACAGCAAATGCCACGAGAACGAGACGCTTTACAACGTGCTGAATCTGAAAAATGTGTTTGACGTTGAGAGCCTGCGCGATTACAGTGGGCGTTACGACATCAATGACACTATCCAGCAGCTGCGCCGAAAGATCAGTCTCTCTCCCGGCGTGGTGATCCTGAAGGATAGCGCGAGATCCAAGCTGAACGATCTAGCGCAGAGCGGCCTCAGCGACATCAAGTTCTACCAGTACGCCGAGCTGCTCGCCGAGAACATCACGAATATTAACTTGGAACATCTTGCCAAACAGCTGCGAGAAGTTTCCGCGAAATTGCCGGAGGGACAAGAGGAAATCAGGCTCAGTCTCGAGAAGAATGCGCATGACTTGGAACATTATCACAGAGACTTGGTTATGCCCATGGCCACGCTCAGCGAGCAATTGAGCGCGAACGCGCTGACGCTTCAGGAGAACATTAAGTTCAATCATAGCTCGATGGCGGACGCTATTCACGATCTAGTGGATGAGGTTACCAAGGCGCAGCAATTCTTAAACAAGGACGGGCCGGAATACGTTCAATACGTACGTATCTCATTGCTTTTACTAGAGATACTTTTGCTATATTGCGTGTTACATAGTATGTGTTACATGATTATTTATGTTAACATATAATGTCATTGTTGATTAGCTCGCCACTAAATTTGGCAATGCATTCCTACACCAAGTGGACAATTTCCTCGAGCACGTCATTGAATCTGCAATGTTCAAGATTGGAAGATGTGCCCCCGTGTCGAATGCTTATAATGCAACCCTCGTGGCAGGATGCAACAGGATTTTGGATCCATTTGTGAGTATCGCACTCACTTGCGCTATGCGCGTTCGCAAATCCGTAAATCCACGCGTGGCTATCAAACTGTGCGGTAACGCGTTTATTATGGGCTTTCGGTAAATTTCATTAAATTTTTCAACCTTCAGAGACCTGTCTCGTAGCTGACGAGTAAACTTGTCGCGCCGGGCGATAACTAAAGTATCCGGCAACGCGTTGCAAAATTAAACAGACCTCGCTAAGAATTAATATTCATGATTCTATTTGCATTTATATATAGAACGGCTTCTGGGCGAGCGTCGGCTGGTGCTTGATCCTATTCATACCAACGATAGTGCTCTGTGTGAAGCTGAGCGCTCTGTACCAAAAGTCGGATCCATACCCGGGGCCTCTTGTCGAAGCGTAAGTGTCTACTCTTTTTCTAGCTGATGTAGCAATTCACGACTGCGACCCAAGAGACGTATCTTTAATTGTTCTTGACTCCTCATACAATCTATGGTGCATGACGATATATTTGAGATACTAATGTGTCTTTGGTAGATCCATTGTCAATCGAGATCGTGCATTAAACACGAGTCATTCACCAAACCGTTGATTAACGTCCCAGGTGTCGATTACGAATCCGAATGAAGTTGAAATACACGAGATGATGAGACGCATTATACGTTAAACTTCGGAGGCGACAAGGCTTTTTTTTCCTTTCTTTTCTCTGCGAGCCTCAACGTACAACGAATCCCTGAGCACCTCTCATGTAGAAACTGTCAATTCTTTTATTTCCGTCTCGTAGTTACTCTCGAGCTTCCATATATCATAGCATGTACTTATTCGCGCTTTGTAACATTTTTTATATCGGCATGTCCTCGTTCTTTCATTTACAAAGAAAGAAGTCCGATCCCGGAAATTCTGAAAGGATTTCCAGGTTCGAAATTGTTCCCTCGGTCTCAGAAACTTATCCTTTGTTCGAAGCAGCAATAATTGCCTAAGATATACCCCGTGTCTGATTTAAAGTTTCTTACATAATGTATTAATTAACAATTCTTGTTTACAGTTATTGAGGATGATTTTGTACCGTTGAAAAGTTACCAGTACTATTTCAACTAAGTTACTTGCGCTATTTCGGCGTTTGCAAAACACAATGCCCCGATTACATCTCGAGCGCGCATTCTCTTGCTGACTGCGGGCCACAGCGAGAGTTTGTGAAAGATCTCACTTAATCGATCGGTCGCGGTCCATCGCGGTAGCTTAGATTATGTTTAAAGTAGCTGTCTAATGTGTGGAATGGTTGTTGGAATCTAACCGCTAACACGCTCCGTTACAGTGAATATTTGTATGACGCGTACGCAGACAGGGATAACATACCCCTCGCCCAGTAAGTATACCACGACAAAGCCAAAGTGTGCTCGCATGTCCCACGTATCCCGAGATATACGCATGTGTATATAAAACTTGTCGTAACTCTCTGTGCGATACAAGTTGTTCGAAGCGACACAATGTTACTCCGTTTTCCACCCCGTAGGCCGTACAGTGGTTCACTTTCTGGTAATATTTCGAACAAAATCTTATTTGAAATATATTGCTTTTTACTTCTTCTTTGCCCTTTCGATCGCCAGCGAACAGAGAAAATGAGCCACTACATCAGCACTCACGAGCTAGTAATTTTAATAGAGTCGGTTTTACACTTGAGTGACGTACCTAAATGGATACTTTGTTGCTGTCTTTTATAACACGTAATATTTAAGTCAATCTTTATTTGAACTGAAATGAAATTCTAGTGAATATTATAATAGTGTTATATACAAGGATACTTAAAATACACGGTATCCTAAATAGCTGTGAAGGTGACTTTATGATTCAAATAAGACAAAATAATACGACTAATGTTTTCGAATAAGGCCTCGTTTTCGAGAAGAACAAGACTTTGAAAGTTAATCGAGTACACGTGCACTTGACTGATAACTGACATATTGATTTTTTCCTACAAACTATTTTATGTATTATATATTCTGTAAATATCTCATGATTCACACCTAATAATTTTCTAATACGTAACATTTTGTAGTTGTCCTATGAATTTTCCGTGGCTACTTGTATTTATTATATTTCAACACTGAAAACGCCAAAAGTCGCTTTTGAAAAATGACCTCTTTTTAACATTGTCCCTTTTAGTCATCCTGAACATTAGTACAACAGCATATATTTTCCTGATACACATTGATTATAGAAAACTATAAAAGGCATGAATGTGTTACATATGGTCGAGTAAGACTGTCTAGTCAAGCGAAGAAGGTAAAAGTACACGGATGACATGAAGTTTTTGCGATGTGTCATCCGCGTACGCTTGCTATTTAAAGAAAGAAGAACATATACGTTTGAACAATGAGGAATCTATTTATATCACTCTAGTGTATGTCGAATGTCTTTCGCCGATATCTTAATTTCTACACGATTGCACGTAACAGGCACCTCCTTACCTCGCCCTAATTCTTTCTCCGCTTGTTGTTCGTGATACGAACACATTGCGTGTTGAATTTCGTTAAACGTTCTGGGTTTTATTTTCCGCTTGTTCGACCATACCTCTGTCGCTAACGTAGCAATGATATTTTCTGCTTAGGAGCTTCGCTAGGAGGAACATACGTTATGCGGATAGATTACGGCTTTTAGATTAAGCGTACACCGGCTGCGATCGTCTGGGAAGTGTTTCTTCGACCGTAGAGGCTGCATACCGAGCTCGCATAGTGATTAGATACGCGGACAGAGTCCGAGTCTCCCCATTAAATTCATCTTCAATTTACAGAGTAAATCGGAGCGAATCCAAGTGAGTCAGCGCATTTAGGTCTCCGACTTAAAATCCGATCCAGCATGTCTCGTCCCGTCTCATTCAGTTCCACGTCAACTTAATTCCATCCGCGCCCGATCCACGTGTCGTCCCGCCGTGCAAAACGACGACCTACGGTGACACCGCAGTCTACCGAGCATCGAGGCGCAATTCATCATTCTGCGAGCTCGCGCGCGCAGTTTCGCCGTTAAAACGCACCACCCGGAGAAGCGTTTCCCAAAGGAACGTTTACCTGAGCTCGAGGGAACGCGAACGCTGCGTCGAGTCCCCCGGGTCTCAAATTTCAGGAAGGACGGGGACCAGGTCTTTCCGCAGGAGACCCAGGGTCGAGAATTTGGGAAACGCCGAACCGGACGTTCCTAACAGATACACCGCGCGGCTTGTTAGCGTAACGACACGCACCCCGCGTCTCTAACTCGCATGACGAGCGCTCCTCGACGGTGCGGGGGATGGGCGATGTCTGACGGAAACGTCTGATTGCAGTGTCCACGACAAGAAGCACGTGTCCCACAGCAGGCACCATCCCGCGGCGTACGTCGAGAGCTACGACGGGCCAGCGGTGGGATACGAACGCGAGAGGATCCCCGACGCCCACCAGAGCACGTCGCACCACGACTCGAGATACTCCGACGTGGCGCCCAAGTAAGTGGAGCCATCCTCGTCCACGGGGAAACCACCTCCCCCCCTCCCCGATTATCAAACCGACCACTATCCCGGGAGATTAATTTCCCCCCCCCCCTCGCAGTCACCGACGTCGCATGCATCTCGAGAGCGGGACGTAGCGCCGAGAATGATACGTTATCAACGCGTTGAACCGCGTTTAACGTGGCATCGTGGCGACGTTACGTTCTTCCTATCTTCTCTTTTTCCTTCTTCTCCCTCCCCTCCTCTCTCTCTCTCTCTTTCTCTCTCTCTTTCTTTCTCTTTCTCTCATTGTCATCGTTTCATC